AAGTCAGAATTGGATGATATAAAGTCAGAATTGGATGATATAAAGTCAGAATTGCGAGATATAAAGTCAGAATTGCGTGATATAAAGTCAGAATTGCGTGATAAAAAGTCAGAATTGTGTGTTATATTAAGTCAGAATTGGATGATATAAAGTCAGAATTGGATGATATAAAGTCAGAATTGCGAGATATAAAGTCAGAATTGCGAGATATAAAGTCAGAATTGCGTGATAAAAAGTCAGAATTGTGTGTTATATTAAGTCAGAATTGGATGATATAAAGTCAGAATTGCGAGATATAAAGTCAGAATTGTGTGTTATATTAAGTCAGAATTGGATGATATAAAGTCAGAATTGCGAGATATAAAGTCAGAATTGCGAGATATAAAGTTAAAATTGTGTTATATAAAGTCAGAATTGCGAGATATAAAGTCAGAATTGCGAGATATAAAGTCAGAATTGTGTGATATAAAGTCAGGATTGCGTGTTATATTAAGTCAGAATTGGATGATATAAAGTCAGAATTGCGAGATATAAAGTCAGAATTGCGAGATATAAAGTCAGAATTGCGTGATATAAAGTCAGAATTGTGTGTTATATTAAGTCAGAATTGGATGATATAAAGTCAGAATTGCGAGATATAAAGTCAGAATTGCGTGATATAAAGTCAGAATTGTGTGTTATATTAAGTCAGAATTGGATGATATAAAATCAGAATTGTGAGATATAAAGTCAGAATTGTGTGATATAAAGTCAGGATTGCGTGTTATATTAAGTCAGAATTGGATGATATAAAGTCAGAATTGCGAGATATAAAGTCAGAATTGCGTGATATAAAGTCAGAATTGTGTGTTATATTAAGTCAGAATTGGATGATATAAAGTCAGAATTGCGAGATATAAAGTCAGAATTGTGTGTTATATTAAGTCAGAATTGGATATAAAGTCAGAATTGTGTGATAAAGTCAGAATTGTGTGATATAAAGTCAGAATTGCGTGATATAAAGTCAGAATTGTGTGATATAAAGTCAGAATTGCGTGTTATATTAAGTCAGAATTGGATGATATAAAGTCAGAATTGTGAGATAAAAAGTCAGAATTGTGAGATATAAAGTCAGAATTGCGTGATATAAAGTCAGAATTGCGTTATATAAAGTCAGAATTGAGTGATATAAAGTCAGAATTGCGAGATATAAAGTCAGAATTGTGTGTTATATTAAGTCAGAATTGGATGATATAAAGTCAGAATTGTGAGATAAAAAGTCAGAATTGTGAGATATAAAGTCAGAATTGCGTGATATAAAGTCAGAATTGTGTGATATAAAGTCAGAATTGTGTGATATAAAGTCAGAATTGCGAGATATAAAGTCAGAATTGTGTGTTATATTAAGTCAGAATTGGATATAAAGTCAGAATTGTGTGATAAAGTCAGAATTGTGTGATATAAAGTCAGAATTGCGTGATATAAAGTCAGAATTGCGTGATATAAAGTCAGAATTGTGTGTTATATTAAGTCAGAATTGGATGATATAAAGTCAGAATTGTGAGATAAAAAGTCAGAATTGTGAGATATAAAGTCAGAATTGCGTGATATAAAGTCAGAATTGCGTTATATTAAGTCAGAATTGTGTGATATAAAGTCAGCATTGCGTGATATAAAGTCAGGATTGTGTGAAATAAAGTTAGAATTGCGACATTTAGTCAGAATTGTTGTCAGGACCCCATTGAAGTCCATTATATGGAGAAAAATCCTGGAATGTTTTAATCAAAAACCTTAATTTCTTTTCAACTGAAGAAAGAAAGACATGGACATCTTGGATGACATGGGGGCGAGTAAATTATCAGCAAAAGTTTTTTCAAACTTTACTCCTTTAAGCTTTAAAGTTCTGCATAATTAAGGGCGTGGTCACTTGAGTGACAGGTGGATTGCCGCCGATGTCACTACTGGCCGTTTATCTGTTAGCGTCACGTCACCTCCCCTAATCCGCCGCGCTGCACATGTTCGTTTATCTGAGAGTGACGCGCTGACAAAATGGCGTCTGCTGGCTCCGCCCACTTTGAACTTCAAAAATGCTCTTCAGAAACTTAACAATCTAATATTGTAGATTGAAACTGTAATCTTCTGCTATTTCAGCCATAATGTTGTGCGCAATATAAACCAAATGCTCTTTCAGACTAACCTTCAGTATGAGTTTGATTTTTATTCTCTACTGGGGAAAACAAAAATCAATATATAAAATATAAAATATCAACATTTAGCATTGGTCTTCACCAAACTAGTATAGGATATCTTAGTCTTATTATAGACTCCCACTCAATGCTAATATAATATTATGCCATTATAGCAGCAGATCTCGTCTCGAGTTCTCTTGTTAGAAGTGCGCTCAAGTGAGTTTTCTTTGGCACAGCAGGAGCACAAACACACACACACTTTTCACACACTCTCCCGCCGTCCTCACACTCCAGGACTCGAGCTTACGGCACAGCAGGACTCGACCCCGTGACCTTGGCATTACCAGCTCGCTGCTCTCATTAACCAGTACGAGAGGAGGCCCGTGTGTGTGGACATGTAGCGGAGACTGTGTGTGTTTTTGGTGTCAAGGGTGTTGTGTATGTCATGGTTGAGAGGGTTTTTAAATATGTCTGGGCACATTCATGTCTTGAAAACTAAGCGGGTGCATATATTGATTCACACCGGCCCGTGGTACATACTAAATGTGTGGTGGTGTTCATGACAAACCTCAGTACTCAAGGGGGCGATAGAGTTTCCTTCAAGCTAGTGGATTCTTGATTGTGTTTTCAGGCTCCTCTAGAACAGGTTTTCCTGCTTGAATGTTGATTATTTTCCCCATAAAGCACACTGAGTGTATAAGGTGGTTAAATGTGTGTGTATGCATGTGTTTTGCATTTAAAGAGGACCTATTATGCCCTTTTCAGTCTTGATGTTGCTTTAGGCTCTACTAGAACAGGTTTCATGCATTATTTTCCTCATATTCTCCATTGTTGCGGCTCCTCTTTTCCCAGTCTGTCAGTAACGCTCTGTTCACTTCTTGTCTCTATGAAGCCACGCCTTCTGAAAAGCACACTGTGCTCTGATTGGTCGGCTGGATCAGTGTGTTGTGATTGGTCGAGCGCTTCGAGTGTGTTTGAGAAATGTCCCGCCCCTTACTTTAACCGCCAGTTATTGTATAACCGTTTAGTGACACTTCAAATGAGTTGAGTCCCTCTATTTTCTTTTTTTTTTTCTTTTTATTTATTTTTTTATTTTTTTATTTATGTATTTTTTTTTTTTAGTGTTTTGAGCTCCTTAAGTCTATTTGTTCTCCCTTGTCATGTGATCAGTGCAGATGATGTCTTTTTGGATGATGTGCGGGAGGTGTGAATCTTGGTTTGTAATACATTAGTATTTGTATTGTACATTTTGAGATTGTCATTCGCTCTTTCTTTGTTGGATTTCTTTAATGTTTGTTGTAATAAGTAAAAGTTCAATTTAAAAAAAAAAAAAAAAAAAAAAAAACTTTAACCGCCAGTTTAACACACTACTAACTAACTTTTCATTGACAATTAAGCACATTTCCCCATGATGGTCACATGTTTCATGGTATCACTGTACTATATATATAAATAGATGTGCCCAGTGGTGTATTACAGGGTATACGCAGGTATACGGCGTATACCCACTTCCTTTTCAGTCGGCATTGCGTATACCCACGTCTAAATCCCCTCTGATGCGCATCATTTAGTTGCTAATCCAATTTCGTGAATAAAAAAAAACACCCAGTTAGAGTCGTACCCGTAATATTAACTCTAATTTTTCATAGAAGCGCGAGCCGAGCGCGAATCCAAACGCGACGCTTCAATTCAGTTAACGATCGTACAGTGTAAGATAAGATGCAAGTAGCTCAAATTTACGGCGACGTTTTAAATGACCGACAGAAATAATCAGTTTGATTAAAGATAGTGGAAATTATAAGATCAATTTAACACCACAAGCACCCTATTAAATATATTGGCATTATTATTGTATAAATATATTTGTTTAACGTTTTTTCGAATGTGTTTGACTTTTCACTGTTTGTATAACTCTGCCACTTGCATCATTAAGCCAGAGGGTGGCGACAAGTGACCGTATTTTTGAGTGAGCAATTGAACCATTCATTAAATGAACAGATTAGCCCAAAAAACTAATTAAATTAAGAAAAGAAAAGTCGCTGAAACTGGAACTGATTCTCATGTTTAATGCCCCCGAACCCCCCTAACAATATTATTTATGGGACCTGGGTATTTATTAAACCATATGTGCGGCCCTGATATGCAAGAATAGCCTACTACTGATTCTATGTGTTCTATTGTTTTCATTATATTCTATTCTATAGTCTTGCATATTGAATACTTATGCAAGACTAGTAGTCTTACATGTCACTGTTTATAACACAGAGCGTTCATCCTTTGCTGGGACGCTTACAAAAATATTGGGGGCATAAATTAAAAGTATACCCACTTCTCCAGGCACCACTACATCACTGGATGTGCCCAAGCTTTTGGCTTGAACTTTAATTGGGTTGGTTTCACTTTAAAAGAGTGATTTCATGAATAAACGGATGAATTCATCTCTCTCTTAATACATGTTGTTGTGTGAACATATGCGCGTGCCAGCGGCCCTCAGGGAAACGCTTGTGAACGAGTGGAAAATGACAGGTTCCTCTCCACTGATCACAGACCCACGAGTCTCTGTGAGGTCATCTGAAAAACACCCTGGCACAGAAGCACAGCATGATGGGAGGAATACAGAGGAGCGAGTGCCCCACACACACACACACACACACACACAGGGTGCCGAGACACGGGTCAGTGCGCAGACGGTGTAAACCTACACCGGACTCTTTCTTTCTTCTCTCATCTGTTTTCTCCGGCTGTCTTTTATTTGACCTTTCTGCATTTTATCCTCATTCATGTTTCCTGTTTTTCACACTTCATCTGCTCTTCCCCGTCTCTGTGCCGTAGGATGCGTTGGAAGTCCTGGCGGAGAACATGGAGTTCGTTGGGAACCGAGGGCCGTGTCTGGCGTTTCGAAGGGCCGCTTCGGTGCTCAAGAGTCTCCGTGCTCCTTTACAACACCTGGAGGAGACGCAGCGCCTGCCCTGTCTGGGGGAACACAGCAAAGCTGTCCTGGAGGTGCAGTACGACACACACTCTCTCACTCACACACTCACTCACTCACTCACTCGTTTACTCACTCACTCACTCACTCCATCACTCACTCACTCACTCACTCACTCCATCACTCACTCACTCACTCCATCACTCACTCACTCCATCACTCACTCACTCACTCACTCACTCACTCCATCACTCACTCACTCCATCACTCACTCACTCCATCACTCACTCACTCACTCACTCACTCCATCACTCACTCCATCACTCACTCACTCACTCACTCACTCTCTCACTCCATCACTCACTCACTCCATCACTCACTCACTCACTCACTCACTCACTCCATCACTCACTCACTCCATCACTCACTCACTCACTCACTCACTCACTCACTCATTTACTCACTCACTCACTCACTCCATCACTCACTCACTCTCTCACTCACTCACTCACTCTCTCACTCCATCACTCACTCACTCACTCACTCACTCCATCACTCACTCCATCACTCACTCACTCACTCTCTCACTCCATCACTCACTCCATCACTCACTCACTCACTCACTCACTCACTCCATCACTCACTCCATCACTCACTCACTCACTCTCTCACTCCATCACTCACTCCATCACTCACTCACTCACTCACTCCATCACTCACTCCATCACTATCTCACTCCATCACTCACTCCATCACTCACTCACTCACTCACTCACTCATTCACTCACTCAATCACTCCATCACTCACTCCATCACTCACTCACTCACTCTCTCACTCCATCACTCACTCACTCCATCACTCACTCACTCACTCACTCACTCACTCGTTTACTCACTCACTCACTCACTCCACCACTCACTCAATCACTCACTCACTCACTCACACACTCACTCACTCACTCATTTACTCACTCACTCACTCACTCACTCCACCACTCACTCAATCACTCACTCACTCACTCACTCCATCCATCACTCAATCACTCACTCACTCACTCACTCACTCACTCACTCACTCCATCACTCACTCACTCACTCACTCCATCACTCACTCACTCACTCCATCACTCACTCATTTACTCACTCACTCACTCACTCACTCCATCACTCACTCACTCACTCCATCACTCACTCACTCACTCACTCACTCAATCACTCCATCACTCACTCACTCACTCTCTCACTCCACTCACTCACTCACTCACTCTCTCACTCACTCCATCACTCACTCCATCACTCACTCACTCACTCCATCACTCACTCACTCACTCCATCACTCACTCATTTACTCACTCACTCACTCACTCACTCCATCACTCACTCACTCACTCCATCACTCACTCACTCACTCACTCACTCACTCACTCACTCACTCACTCACTCACTCACTCACTCACTCACTCACTCACTCAATCACTCCATCACTCACTCACTCTCTCACTCACTCCATCACTCACTCCATCACTCACTCCATCACTCACTCACTCACTCACTCACTCACTCACTCACTCACTCACTCACTCACTCCATCACTCACTCCATCACTCACTCACTCACTCTCTCACTCCATCACTCACTCCATCACTCACTCACTCACTCCATCACTTACTCACTCACTCTCTCACTCCATCACTCACTCACTCACTCACTCCATCACTCACTCCATCACTCACTCACTCACTCTCTCACTCCATCACTCACTCACTCCATCACTCACTCACTCACTCACTCGTTTACTCACTCACTCACTCACACACTCACTCATTTACTCACTCACTCACTCCACCACTCACTCAATCACTCACTCACTCACTCCATCCATCACTCAATCACTCACTCACTCACTCACTCACTCCATCACTCACTCACTCACTCACTCACTCCATCACTCACTCACTCACTCACTCCATCAATCACTCACTCACTCACTCCATCACTCTCACTCACACACTTACTCACTCACTCACTCACTCACTCACCCACTCATTCACTCACTCAATCACTCCATCACTCACTCCATCACTCACTCACTCACTCTCTCACTCCATCACTCACTCACTCCATCACTCACTCACTCACTCACTCACTCACTCGTTTACTCACTCACTCACTCACTCCACCACTCACTCAATCACTCACTCACTCACTCACACACTCACTCACTCACTCATTTACTCACTCACTCACTCACTCACTCCACCACTCACTCAATCACTCACTCACTCACTCACTCCATCCATCACTCAATCACTCACTCACTCACTCACTCACTCACTCACTCCATCACTCACTCACTCACTCACTCCATCACTCACTCACTCACTCACTCCATCACTCACTCATTTACTCACTCACTCACTCACTCACTCCATCACTCACTCACTCACTCCATCACTCACTCACTCACTCACTCACTCACTCAATCACTCCATCACTCACTCACTCACTCTCTCACTCCACTCACTCACTCACTCACTCTCTCACTCACTCCATCACTCACTCCATCACTCACTCACTCACTCCATCACTCACTCACTCACTCCATCACTCACTCATTTACTCACTCACTCACTCACTCACTCCATCACTCACTCACTCACTCCATCACTCACTCACTCACTCACTCACTCACTCACTCACTCAATCACTCCATCACTCACTCACTCTCTCACTCACTCCATCACTCACTCCATCACTCACTCCATCACTCACTCACTCACTCACTCACTCACTCCATCACTCACTCCATCACTCACTCACTCACTCTCTCACTCCATCACTCACTCCATCACTCACTCACTCACTCCATCACTTACTCACTCACTCTCTCACTCCATCACTCACTCACTCACTCACTCACTCACTCCATCACTCACTCCATCACTCACTCACTCACTCTCTCACTCCATCACTCACTCACTCCATCACTCACTCACTCACTCACTCACTCGTTTACTCACTCACTCACTCACTCACACACTCACTCACTCACTCATTTACTCACTCACTCACTCACTCCACCACTCACTCAATCACTCACTCACTCACTCACTCCATCCATCACTCAATCACTCACTCACTCACTCACTCCATCACTCACTCACTCACTCACTCCATCACTCACTCACTCACTCACTCCATCAATCACTCACTCACTCACTCCATCACTCTCACTCACACACTTACTCACTCACTCACTCACTCACTCACCCACACACTCACTCACTCACTCTCACTCACTCACTCTCACACACTCACTCACTCACTCACTCACTCACACACACTCTCACTCTCACACACTCACTCACTCACTCACTCACTCACTCACTCACTCACTCACTCTCTCACTCACACACTCACTCACACACACTCACTCACTCACCCACACACTCACTCACTCACTCACTCACTCACTCACTCACTCTCACACACTCACTCACTCACTCACTCACTCCATCACTCACTCCATCACTCACTCACTCCATCACTCACTCACTCACTCACTCACTCGTTTACTCACTCACTCACTCACACACTCACTCACTCACTCATTTACTCACTCACTCACTCACTCCACCACTCACTCAATCACTCACTCACTCACTCCATCCATCACTCAATCACTCACTCACTCACTCACTCCATCACTCACTCACTCACTCACTCCATCACTCACTCACTCACTCACTCCATCAATCACTCACTCACTCACTCCATCACTCTCACTCACACACTTACTCACTCACTCACTCACTCACTCACTCACTCACCCACACACTCACTCACTCACTCTCACTCACTCACTCACTCACTCACTCACTCTCACACACTCACTCACTCACTCACTCACTCACTCACTCACACACACTCTCACTCTCACACACTCACTCACTCACTCTCTCACTCACACACTCACTCACTCACTCACTCACTCACTCACCCACACACTCACTCACTCACTCACTCACTCTCACACACTCACTCACTCACTCACTCACTCACTCACTCACTCACACACACTCTCTCACTCACACACTTACTCACTCACTCACTCACTCACTCACTCACGGTCACTGTGGTGGACAGTAGACTCTCTCACTCTCTCTCTTACTCTCTCTCTCTCTCTCTCTCTCTCTCTCTGAAACCGCATCATCAGTCAGCTGACGTCTGAGGTCATCAGAGCAGCTCTTCTCCTGCTGAGGGTTTAATACACCTTCACATCACTGCTGTTTATTTTCCCGAGGGGGAAACAGAAAGATATTGTTCTGAAAGAAAAACAAAACATTTCACAAAGCGACGTTTGGTTGGTTTTAAAATAGATAAAATCTCAGGTCAACCTGTCAAGAACAAATCTGGCTAATGTTTAAAAATCTAGAAATTGCATTGTTATAAAAAAAAAAAAAACGATTGTCATGACAATGAAGCACATGCTCCCCTAAAATTCTCAGTATAGTAGAGAGGAAAAAATTAAGTTGTAATTTATGTCATTTTGTAAATTAATAATTTATTGATCACCAAAATCACATATTTAAACGATTTTTTCCTTGAAAAAAAAAATCTTGAATGTAACTCGACACCCTTGACTCATTTACTATGTGTGGTTCTATGGATATGCAGATTAGCCCCGCCTCCACTGTTTTTTTGAGACTGTGTTTTTTCCACACCGTGTCTTTGAGACTGCCTTTGGTTCACTGCAGTTTTAAGCAGAAATATATCATATTAAAAACACCACATAGACATTTAAACAACATTAAAAACATTTGTATTATAAAACAGTTATTTTAACTTGAAATATTTCTCTGTTTTTGATGAAATAAATGCAGTCTTGGTGAGCAGAAGGGACTATAAAACAATACAAATGTTAATTATTCCAAACTTTGGAGTGGTAGTGTGTGTATAACTTTATACTCAGGATTTATAGATTATATTCAGATTTCATATACTGTAATTATACACTATTTGGCCCTTTATGTATATAATAAACATTAGTTTTATATTTGAAAGCAGAGATGTTGGTGTTTGTGAGTCTGTGTCAGCTTAAATCTGGAGAATACAAGGAAGAGCTTGTAATATTATGCCGTTTTAATTTAAATTTAAAGGCAATTAGCTTTTAATAACTGAGTGACGTACAGTGATAAATGTTATAGGATTTGTAGTAACACTCTTGCCCTTCATGAATAATCCAATGCTTCATATTTCTTTGATCATATTGAATTGTGTGCAGTTTAAGTTGACTCTATTTAATAGGAAGGAAGTGCGTTTGATTGGAAAGTCAGTCATTACCGTTCACATTTACAGTGATAAATGTGTTTCCAACACACTCCGGCTGTGATTAATACACTGGTTCTGGTTCCTGCAGGCGGAGAAACTGTAAGACAGTCAATAAAGCATTTACACAACAGCGCGAGAGCTGTGGGAGACAACGCAATGAGCATTTCATTAGAGTTATTAAGCTGCAATTAACCCGGACGGTGTGTGTGTGTGTGTGTGTGTATGAGTTACCGTGCTTAATCATAGCAGGATTTTAACTGTTTGTGCATCTGTCTCGGTCTTCATCTAGGAGATCTTTGAATGCGGATCATCCTCCAGAGCTGAAGACACACTGAATGACGAGAGGTACCGAACTATGAAGGTGAAGTAAATCTCTCTGCGACTTCAGAGCTTAGCAGGTGTAGAAGTGTGTGTGTGAGTGAGTGTGTGTCTGATAATGTTTGTGTCTCAGTTGTTCAGCAGTGTGTTCGGGGTCGGACCCAGAACCGCAGAGAGCTGGTACTGTAGAGGACTCCGGACGTTTGAACAGGTTCTGACTGAACCCAGTATCAGACTGAACCGCATGCAGACCGCAGGTAAACAGTGATGTCAGAACTTCAGACTCCCTGTAGCCAATCATTTTATCCCTTAAAAATCATCAAAATTACATATTTAAATGATTGTTCCATGAAAAAAAAATCTTCATGCCTTAGAAGATCGCGAATGTAACGCGACACCCTTGCCTCATTTAGTATACGTGGTTCTATGAATATGCAAATGAGCTCCGACTCCACTCACTCACTCACTCACTCACTCACTCACTCAGCTCAGAGATACACTGGTTGACAAGTTAGTTTTTAAAAAGCTATTTTTCAGCATGGTGATGATTGCGTGAATCACAATTTGTAAAATACATTTTTATTCAGCCCCAAGTAAACAGAATATCATTGCATTATAATGTTTTTTTTCCCACATTATCCTATTATAAAACATTATATATTATTATTATTTTTTTTATTATTATTATTATATATATTAGGTCTGTGCAAAAATTAATTGCGATTAATCGCATCCAAAATAAAAGTCTGTGTTTACATAATATATTTGTGTGTGCTGTATATAATTATTTTGTATATATAAATACACACACATGCATGTATATATTTAATAAAATGTGTTATTCATATATAAATTATTTTTATTTATATAATTTAGATTATGTATTTATATATATATATACAGAATTTAAGCGCAAATATTCTTAAATATATACATGCATGCATAGGTATTTATATATAGAAAATAATTATATACAGCACACACAAGTATATTATGTAAACACAGACTTTTATTTTGGATGCGATGAATCGCAATTAATTTTTGCACAGCCCTAATATATATATATATATATACTGTATATATATATATATATATATATATATATATATATATATATATATGAAGAGTTCAGATGCAAAAGCCTCTAAATGTCATTTGAAATTTTCTTCTTTAATGATAATTTTTTATCAAACTTGTATATTTAAGTTCAGTAATTTCTAAGTGAAATCACTGAACTTAAATATACAAGCTTGATAAAAATGATCATTCTTGAAGAAAATTTCAAATGGCACTTAGAGGCTTTTGCATCTGAACTCTTCATATATATATATATACACACAGTATTTTCTCCTTAAAACTGGTCTTTCTGACGTCATAAACAAACTTGTAACCAATCAGATCAACATGTGATTGTCAACCAGTGGATCTCTGAGCTGAGTGAGTGAGTGGAGGCGGGGATCATTTGCATATTTATAGAACCACATTTACTAAATGAGGCAAGGGTGTCGAGTTACATTCAAGATATTTTAAGGCATGAAGAATTTTTTTTCAAGGACATGTTATTTTGGTGATCAAAGATGAGTTTTAAAGGACAAAATTAGTGACCAGGGTACTTAAAACAATCGCAGTACATATTGAATTGGCAGATAAATATTGCACTATAGGATCCTATATTTACTTCCAGGAATACAATGTTTTTACCATGCACATAAATATTCACCAGTGTATGTGTCCAAGATAATATATGGATTCAGATTCATTGGAAGAGTTTTTATCAGCCAGACCTCCCAATCTTTCACTCTCAGAATGAAAACACAGTGTGGACATGATAAATGTTCCTGCCAAACCCCATCATCCTGGTCCTGGTCATTTTTATGCAGTCATCGGCCTCTGAGTGAGTGTGTGTGTGTGTGTGGGACAGAGGGCTTCTGTGCTGCTGATATCACTGTGTTTAACTCATGTTCACTGCTTCAGTTTTCAGATAATAATATGTAGAAATATGCTTATCAATGAGTTCGGCTCCATTGAGCATCACACACTGCATTAAAGCCCTCCTGGGAGTCGCGAGGAGGACGTGGGAAAATGTGACGGTTTTGCTGGTTATACATTCAGAGCTCATCAATCAGACTGAGAAAAGGCCAGCCGTGTTCCCGCTGTCATCTCGTCTATGAATTATGATATGATTTTATTGTTACCTTTAAAAGCGATTACCTTACCTGACCCGTTGTTTAAGGCCTCGGGCCTGATTTAATGATTGTTTTGGAAAATCTACTGTAAGAGAGATCACATCGCTACTGTTTTTCAGTCGTCAGGCCTCGTAATTTTCCGCCGCTGTCTTCAGGCGCTCATTTACGACCTGCTGATCTATAAACAACACGCCGGCTTAAAACAATTATGCAGATTTGGTTTGTGAGATTTGGCGGTGCAGGCGAGAGATTTCTCTGGCTGTGTGCTTGTGATAGCTATATTTTAAAATGCTCACTTATGCAAAACATAAAGGTTGAAAACAAGTGTAAAACTACAGTGAATGTCATAAAATATTATCTTTTCTCTAAAAGTGCTGAGAAACGGCACAATTTATTTAAAAAAAAAGTCAGTTTTGTTCATATTTTGAAAAATTGTTGTTCTTTTGAACTTTTTATTCACCAAAGAATCCTGGAAAAAAATAATAATCACGGTTATATATGGAGTAGCACAACTGTTTTCAACACTGATAAAGTGATAATAATCATAAATGTTTCTTGAGCATCAAATCCTCATATTAGAGTGATCTCTGATTTCTGAGTAATGATGCTAAAAATTTGGGAATATTTATTCACATTGTAAATTTTAATAATATTTCAAAATTTGTTGCTGTTTTTTTGATCAAATAAATCCAGCCTTTGTAAGCAGAAGAGACTTCTTTCAGAAACATTAAAAAATCATATTATTCTCAGACTTTTAATAGTGTAGAACAATTAGTTTAACTTTCTTGCAAAGTATTAATTTATACACAAATATATAACTATAAATTCCCGTTTGCTAATTACGACTTTGATTGATGGATCTCTCCACTATTTTGAGTGACTTACATTTTACATTTACTTTTATGCATGTCTGTCACTCATTTTGCTTTATCACTAAAAATAATTTTCTCTGTGTAGAATATGAATTCGGCTGTGCTCTATCAAGTGTGACAGAAGGAGATTACAGTATTAGAAAGCAGATCAAACAAGCCAATATGAAGACTAGAAGTTTTTTGGGCATTTAACACACGATAGTACCATATTAAATTGAGTGCATGTGCTGCTATGCTATACTTTAAGGTAAATGCCATAGTCAATTATGATATGATTTATATATTTACCATATATTACATTTTGTAAGTAAAAGAAGGTTAACAGCACTGGGATGTGTGTGTGTGATCTCAAGAGGAAATGAGTTTGTAATTAATGTTTCTCACACAAACCACTAGTGAGAGACACTCGTTAAACAAATAGAGAATGAGCTAATAAACACTGTTGGATTGTGTGTTTTAGCGATAGGTTCAGTGCTGAAACTGCACTATTAAATCACTTTTAGTGGTGTTTAACCGTCCAGAACAGCATGAAAGTTCAGGCGTCACGTTTGTAGACGGCATTGGACTCTAATTTGACAATAACCCATAATTAACAGTAAAGTTGCTAGGTCAACCATCACTGCTATTGCTAATAGTTAGTGTTAGGGATGTGATGAAACCCCTAAACTCCACACACAAATATTTAGGCCTGAATTTAAGATTTGGGTGTTTTAATTGCATGTTGGTGGAGACTGGTTTGTTTTATTTCACATGATCTTGATAAATATTAGAGCCAGACCGATATATCGGCAGGCCGATTTTATCGACCGATATTAGGCATTTTCTAAAATATCGGTATCGGCAGTTATAATGGCCGATAAATGAATATTTCAAAAATAAAATAAAAACGGACGAAACGCGCTTGAACCATGTCATGAGTGTTGGAGTTGTATAGTTTGTCCACCAGAGGGCACTCTACACCGTCCCTGATGGCAACACTCGTGTATAACGCGCCACACATCCTGCAACCTGCTGATCCAGCCAGAGTCGGGCAGAGAGAACCAGTTATGCATTATCATATTGTTAAAACTCATAATTAACTACAGATTACTAATGTTAGGGAAATCTGTTAATATTTTGTTGCGCGTTTCTGAAAAAAAAAATTATAATATCGGCCGATATATCGGATTTTAAAACCAACAAATATTTGTATCGGTATCGGCCTTCAAAATCCTTTATCGGTCGGCTCTAATAAATCGTTAATTCTGAACACACCCAGCATTATTCATCATCTAGGATAACTATAGACCCGATATAGTCCGGCTATGAGTGACACATTTCTTGAATTTGGTTACATGTAGTTTTTGCCAAAATACCTTGTGAGATGTATCATATTCCATCATGTACGCAAAGTAAACAGTGATTACAAGGTGTTTGGTTTTATTACTTCACTCATTTAATTTCTTTATCTAACTGATGACAAGTTTCACTGACAGCCCAAAGTTTGCCTAGTTTTGGCCTAGACATCTGAGCTGTGTTTGGACACTATTAGACGTCTTTTAAACGCACGTTAGCCACGTAAAAAAATAGCATCACGGGGGAGAGGTTTCCTAGGTCAACACGTCTCACGTTTTCTTCAGACAGTGTAAAAGTCTAGTTTGTGCAACACTTCTTGGGTGTTTGTCAGTAAATCTTGCATCCATCCGCTCTTGTCGCAGGGTTCTTGTTCTACGAGGACATCAGTAAGCCGGTGAGCAGGACCGAGGCCAGCGCGCTGAAGATCATAGTGGAAGAAGCTGTTATGTGTGTAAACCCACACGCCACCGTCCACATTACTGGAGGATTCCGCAGGTAAACACTGGCTCCTTGAGTGCTTTGAGTCTGTTTACGTCAGTTCAGTGGTGTGTGATTCTGTATGGAGCAACTCTTGGAGTGTTTGGGATGGAAATGGATATGACTATGTAAATATGTTTGGTCTTGGCCGAATAGATCTGCTACGGTGGTATTGTTGCTATTACTATTGTTACTATTTTTAAAGAACATTTAAAGCGTTGGCGTTTGGCATTTGATGCTGTGTGAGAGTTGCCTTGTTGTTTTATGTGCTGTTGACGGTTTTTACCATTGATATGGGATTTGTGTGTTCAGCACTTTGATGAACACTTTCTGTTTTTAAAAAGTGCTTAATAAATAAACTTTGACTTGACTTTGACTTGCTGAATTTGGTTAGAGCTGCTGAATGTGGTTAGTGCTACTGCTGTTATTGCTGCTGATTTTGGTTATTGCTGCTGCTGTTATTGCTGCTGATTTTGGTTATTGCTGCTGAATTTTGGTTATTGCTGCTGATTTTGGTTATTGCTGCTGATTTTGTTAGTGCTGCTGATTTGGTTATTGCTGCTGATTTTGGTTAGTGCTGCTGATTTTGGTTAGTGCTGCTGATTTTGGTTAGTGCTGCTGATTTTGGTTATTGCTGCTGATTTTGGTTATTGCTGCTGTTATTGCTGCTGATTTGGTTATTGCTGCTGATTTTTGGTTATTGCTGCTGATTTTGGTTAGTGCTGCTGATTTTGGTTAGTGCTGCTGCTGCTTGTTTTTGCTGCTGATTTTGGTTATTGCTGCTGATTTTGGCTATTGCTGCTGATTTTTGTTATTGCTGCTGCTGTTGTTGCTGCTGATTTGGTTATGCTGCTGTTATTGCTGCTGATTTTGGTTATTGCTGCTGTTATTGCTGCTGATTTTGGTTAGTGCTGCTGATTTTGGTTATTGCTGCTGATTTTGGTTATTGCTGCTGATTTTGGTTAGTGCTGCTGATTTTGGTTATTGCTGCTGATTTTGGTTATGTGCTGCTGTTATTGCTTGCTGATTTTGGTTATTGCTGCTGATTTTGGTTATTGCTGCTGATTTTGGTTAGTGCTGCTGCTGTTATTGCTGCTGATTTTGGTTATTGCTGCTGATTTTGGTTAGTGCTGCTGCTGTTATTGCTGCTGATTTTGGTTATTGCTGCTGATTTTGGTTAGTGCTGCTGATTTTTGGTTATTGCTGATGATTTTGGTTATTGCTGCTGATTTTGGTTATTGCTGCTGATTTTGGTTAGTGCTGCTGATTTTGGTTAGTGCTGCTGATTTTGGTTATTGCTGCTGATTTTGGTTATTGCTGCTGATTTTGGTTATTGCTGCTGCTGTTATTGCTGCTGATTTTGGTTATTGCTGCTGAATTGGCTATTGCTGCTGATTTTGGTTAGTGCTGCTGATTTTGGTTATTGCTGCTGCTGTTATTGCTGCTGATTTTGTTAGTGCTGCTGAATTTGGCTATTGCTGCTGATTTTGGTTAGTGCTGCTGATTTTGGTTATTGCTGCTGATTTTGGTTAATGCTGCTGCTGTTATTGCTGCTTATTTTGGTTATTGCTGCTTATTTTGGTTATTGCTGCTGTTATTGCTGCTGATTTTGTTTAGTGCTGCTGATTTTGGTTATTGCTGCTGATTTTGGTTAGTGCTGCTGATTTTGGTTATTGCTGCTGATTTTGGTTATTGCTGCTGCTGTTATTGCTGCTGATTTTGGTTATTGCTGCTGATTTTGGTTATTGCTGCTGCTGTTATTGCTGCTGATTTTGGTTATTGCTGCTGCAGAGCAAATACGTCTTGCTACTGCCAGTACATACACGGCAGGCTGCTGTGAGCAAGTAAGACATGCTTCTGTACGCTGCAGCATAACGTAAATAAATTACCTGTAGCAGATCTATGAGGGTTTCTGGAAGTGCACTGCACTGCTACAGCAAAAGCTGACCAAGTATTTGAAGGCTGAGCAACTAATCAGCTCTGCCCTATAGAGAATGATGTGGTTGCAAGCAGATTGAGTTAAGGACCTGTCAGCCAGTTTCATGAGTCATGACAGAACTTTGTATTTCCCAAAAGAAAATGTAAAATGTATTGCTTAGACTTTGCTGTTTCATAGCTCAGGTGATGCAATGAGGTTGTGTTTAAAATAACGAAATATCCCAAAATTCCCTTAAACTTACACTGCTTGTGTTCTCTGTCTGGCTGTCTGTATTTCCATCATGCAACCACTTAGCAACTATTCAGAACAGCTTAGCAACTGCCTATTAACCACCTTTGTGCACATATGGCATAAATAACCTTCAAAACCTCAACATATTTAAAACCTTCAGAATAATCAAGCTCTCATTCAAACTTTTTCATATTTGTGAATGCATTTTAAGCAAATTCTAAATTATCATGCATAATTTATTTAGGAATTTACTCCCATGTTTTTCTTTAAAATACATTTGAATAGATACAAATGCTCACTAATGAGTGAGTAGTTGACCGAGTAAGATTATAGATCTGTAAAATGAATATGGATTCATCTGCCAGTTGTTGCAATCTCTTCTGATACTCTAGGAGAGACTCATGAGGAATTACTTGGCATAAGACAAGAAACGTCTCAGAAACAGGAGAGTTTCTGGACATGAATCGTGTCCTGGCACACACTTTAATCTGTGGGTTAATATCTCTGGATTCCCTTGTGAATAAACCGCAGATCACATTTCTACCATGTAAATGGAAAAAGGTGTTTGTTGTACCTTGAGGGTCCTTCCGGTGAGCTCGTCTATGAGAAAATGTGACCAAGAGGTTATGAATCTTAATAACGTTCGCCAGAGAGAAAATGGCAAACGTCCTTATTCAATCATGCAGTGTTTGCAGTGCCTGAATGGCTTTCTGATCAAGAACAGGGTGCTTTTTTCATCCTCTCGGTCTGGTCTGTAGTGTTTTGTTTGGTGGAGTTGTAAAGTTTCTCATAGCTGGCGTATATTTCATATTTTCAGAGGTGATGAGAATTATGGGAAGAGTGCTTTAAAACCTCCACTGACTCACCTCAACATGTTTTTTGTGCTTTATAAGGAAAGGTGCATTATTTGTGGTGCTTTTCTTTCCACGGGCCATGTGTGTGATGCTCATGATGACAGTACTTTAAAGATGGATATTTTTGGAAAGTAATAATGTACTGAAAGTCTGATGAATAAGATCAGTGCATGAATTCCAGCAGCTTTTATGTCTGTTTTGTCGTGATATTGTGCCGTTGTTCCCAGATAACGTGGTCCTGACACTCAGATAAGTGAGTTAAAGTGAAAACAGCGCTATCACTGCGCACCTTGTCAGTAAACCGGTGTATCTTGTCAGTAGTGGTTTATTTCAGGCTATCTTATTTGCTTTATAAACCTTGCTGATGTGCTCTTGGCGGATGAGAGATATTATTAGCTCGGGTGGAACAGATGTCACAACCGCACGTCTCCTACAAAACAGATGACAGATGCTGCGCAAATGAAAACAAAAGGCGTTTTGAAGATGTGACGGTGTTTTATAGTAACTCGAGGAACGGGAGACGGTGAATCGCGTGACTTTTGGTGACGACACTGACACATTCATTCACTGACACAGTGTTGATGAAGTTAGATGTCTTTAATCTCTTAGCTGGTGATGCTTTATTGGCTTCACGGTGGAGTCAGACACAAACTCAAATTGAAATGTGTGTTTGATTTATTATGTGAGCTTCACAGAGCCAACATATAGTGCTAGTGTACAATCTTGCCTCAGGCTTCTTTCAAAACTAAGAGCAAAATATCTGAATCCTCCTAGAGCAAGCAAACTCACCTCCAGCCTTACTGAATAGACTTCAAGCTGGCAATGAAATATCCCCCAAAATCTGTGTTTTGAGTCTAACTCTCTGTCTATGAACCTTATCGTGCTGTATCGTCATTTAATCATGCAGTGGTGGTCAAAAGCGATGAAAAAAAGTATACAGTCAAACTAAAAATTATTCAGACACCAGATATAATGTTTTATATTTTTTTACTAGTGTGTGCAGGACACTATACACTGTAAAAAATGATCGTGATTTTAACAGTAAAAGACTGTAAAAATGCTACAGTGAAAAACGTAAACGAAAGTTTCCTTGCTATATACGGTAAATAACTGTGATAAATATAATGGTACATTTAATGTAGTTTTACTGTAAAATACTGTTAAATTTACAGTTTTTGGAAGTGAAAAAGAAGTCATTGTATAATTTACAGTGAAAAAATGTAAATTGACTTTCCCACAATTCCCTGTATGACACTTCACATTTAATGTATTTTAACTGTTTATTCATAATTTTCTTAGTTTTTTTCTTATCAGTTATGTTCATTAGGGTGTAATGTTACATTTAACGTTGTTAAATTAATTCTTATTTCATTTTTAAAATTTCAACATGTTACCATGATGGTGTTTAATGTTTGCGTGAATGACACTGTGCAGCTTCTACATAGTAGTATGAACTGATAATGATGAGCTTTGATTGATCACTTGACTCTCATTATTGTGATTGATGGCTGTCGGTGTATTGCAATTGAACAAAACAGATATTAATACTTCAAAATGTCCGTAAATTAAAATTATATCAAATAATGAAATACGGTTTATTACTGTAAAATTAAATGCGGTCAAAGTCTGTAAAACCTAAAACGTAAATTTAACGGATTTTTTTTACAGTGTAGTTCATGTATCTAAGTGCAAAATAAAGTAAACTGTGACATATTATACCCAAAAAACTATATTTTATAAACATTTGGGACCAAAAATGATTTTGCTGAGACCTTTTTACACCAGAGGCTGAACAAAATTAGGCATTGCTTGGTAATTGGTTGACCTAAATTGCTATTATCTAATTGTGTTCTTTTCTTATATACCTAATTGAACAGCTGACAGATATTCAAATTTTATTTGTGAGACAGTCTAACAGAAAGATGGAAATATCAGCTGAGTTCTTGTCTAATTTTATTACCATTTTCTAAACTATAGCGAAAAAAACGTGATGA